TTCAGAGCAGCTCTTGAAGGATACTCAGCCTGGCACCCAGGAGGCAGCACGCACAGCAGTGTGGTGTTTGCCAGAGCTGTGAATTACTGGGAAGGTGCCTGTGGGAGCTGAAGTCTCCAGAGCGCCTGGCCTGAGAACCTTTCGCTTCAACGTGCCAGGCTGAGTGGTGCTCAGCATAGCATGAAGCTGTCCCTGCTGGGCTGGCTCTTATCCCTGTCACCTTCTCACCAGATGCCATCTGTGCAGTGTGTCTGCTGCCCTCCCACCAGGACCTCTTCCAGGGCACGCAGTGTTGGGTCTCTGGCTGGGGCTATACCAGACCAGACCAAGGTAAGCTCCCATCTTGTCCCTGCGGCTCAGCACTGACCAGAGGCTTTCCCCTTGCTCCCCACTGGCCCTGTCCAGCCCCTTCCATGCCACGTGTGATCTTGCAAATGGTCCCTCCTGCCTTCATCCCACTCCTGCTCCAGCAGCTCTGCACCCCACATCTAGAGCTCCTGCTGGCCTGGCCATATTTAATCTCATAAAGTAATCCCATAACGTAACCCCAACTTTCCCATCTTCTGACTTCAGCCAATGCCCTGCTCTTCCTCTCCTGCTCCCTGCAGGTTGTTTCCCTCTTGGCTTCTCTTTCTCCCTCCCCAGCACAGGTTACAGAGACACTGAAGGAAGCACTCGTTCCCTTAATCGGTACCAAGAGGTGCAATAGCTCGTGCATGTACGCAGGCGAGCTCACTGCCAGGATGCTGTGTGCCGGCTACCCGCATGGGCAGATAGATGCGTGCCAGGTAACCGGAGGGAGCAACTGGTGTGTGCTGGGTGTGCATGGCAGGTGGGGAAAGGACCCACGTGTTGTATGTCCCTGTCATCCCCCAGCAAATGCTGGCTTTTGTGGCAGTGGCTTGCAGGAAGCAGTCTGTGTAGGGTAGTGCTGGGCCCACTGTGTCTTGCACTGCAGCGTGGAGCCCGCGTGGATGTCAGGCTGAGATTTAGATGTCTTTACAGAATGTTCCTTCTGTAAGGAACCTTGCAGGAGGCACACGCTGTTTCTTATACCCATGTTTCAGCTTCTTGTATGGCCATGTAGGAGAAGCTGGCTCGATCTGCATCTCAGCTGCCAGTGGGGCAGAGCTGCTTGGGCAGTCCTTGCTCTGTCTCATGGCAGGTGGGGAAAGGACCCACGTGTTGTATGTCCCTGTCATCCCCCAGCAAATGCTGGCTTTTGTGGCAGTGGCTTGCAGGAAGCAGTCTGTGTAGGGTAGTGCTGGGCCCACTGTGTCTTGCACTGCCGCGGGGAGCCAGCGTGGATGTCAGGCTGAGATTTAGATGTCTTTACAGAAGGAACACAGAACCTTGCAGGAGGCACACGCTGTTTCTTATACCCATGTTTCAGCTTCTTGTATGGCCATGTAGGAGAAGCTGGCTCGATCTGCATCTCAGCTGCCAGTGGGGCAGAGCTGCTTGGTCAGTCCTTGCTCTGTCTTGCAGGGTGACAGTGGGGGACCCCTGGTTTGCCGGGATGAATTTGCATGGCGCTTAGTAGGCATCGTGAGCTGGGGCCAGGGCTGTGCTGAACCCAACCACCCTGGGGTTTATACCAATGTGGCTCAGCTTCTGCCGTGGATTTATCGCATCACTGAGGTAAGCTGGAGCAAGGAAAGGTGTATGTACAGCCTGAGCTACAGCCATGCATGTTGTGTAGACAAATCTCACTGCTAGCATCCATTTTAACTCTTTCCTCCACTACTCTCTGCTCACCCTTGACACATGAACCCCTGGAACAACCTCTTTTATGGTTCTGATCCTTTTTTTTTTCTTTTTTTTTTCTCTTTTTTTGGACTAGATCTACTAGAAATAAGACGAGGAGAGACTTCAGAGCACAGCTTTGCCCTTTCTGTGTAACAGTCCAGGCCTAATTCAGAACACTGTGTTACTATGACCCTAACAGAATCCCCAGACAACACTAGAAAACATGCTCAGTATAAATAGTTTATTAAAGAAAATAGCAAATTACATTTCTGTGAACAATCCACATGAGAAGTGTTGTTTTTCGAAATACACGCGGTTTTTTAAATTGCTGTGTGTAAAGGGGCAGGGGATCCTGTGAAATGCAAGTGTTATGGGAACACTCGGCATT